GTAAGTCACTGGGTAAGTCACTGGTAAGTCACTGGTAAGTCACTGGTAAGGCACTGGGGTGGGGGGTAAGTCACTGGGGCCCGCGGGGGCCCTGCGGACCTGGCGGCCAAGGCCGACGAGGGCCCCGGCGGGCCCGGGCGGGCCTGGCGACGGCCCTCCCGGTGCCTCCCCTCATCCTTCCTCGGGCGACGCGCCTCGGGCTCCGCCTGGCTTCGTCGCTTCCCCCCCCCTGCCCCCGTCTGCCCCGGCCCGCGCGCGCGGGCTGAGTTTTCTGGCGGTGGCCCGCCTGGCACAGAAAACGGACCGGCCCCTCGCTCGTAGGAGGCGGGCCAGATCTCGTAGAACGGCCGCGGCGAGTTGCCCGCGGAGAAAACTGGAGCGCCCGCGCGCGCGGGCACGAGGGGCCCATTTCTAACCCTCGATCTGGCCGCCCTCGGCCGCCACCAGTCGCTGGCACCGCTTCTTCATGCCCCCGATGCTCTTGCTCACCATGTCCGAGGGAATGCTCTTGGCCGTGCGCTTGAGGCGCCGGATGAAAGCGGCGCGGGTCTCGCGCTTGCCCGCGGGGAACGCGCGCTCCCGCGCGCGCATGCGCGAGTTCACCTCCCGCCACAGCCAGTAGTCGCGCACGTTCAGCTGCGGACTGTGGGCAGGGATCTCGAACGCCTGGATGCCGGCGCGCTGCTTGGCGGCGACGCCCTTGCTGGCCTTGAAGCCGGACGGGTCGTTGTCCTCGAGGACGCGGAAGCGCTTCGTCCCAGGGTACTCCGCCTTGAGCGCCTTGAGAATCGGGCCCTCGTAGATCCGCGCGGCCTCGGAAGCATTCCAATTCCCCTGGATCTCCTCCCACACCAGCACCTTCCCGCTGCCCACGCCGGCCAAAATGTGCACCCCCTTCGCGCCCGTGTTGTACTTCAACTTCGGATTGGGCTTCACGTAGCCAGCGTTCAGGCCCTCGCCTGGGCGGCGGATGACGCCCCGCGTGCCCGACTGGGCCACGTGGCGACGCGCCCTGCCCGTGAGCAGGACGGGGAAGAACTTCACGTCGATGTGCATATGCACGTGCGACTGCCACCACGACACGGGCTTCCCCTGGTACTTCTCCCCGAACTCGAGGCGGCCCTGGATGTCCTCGTCCGTCAGCAGGGGCTTGTGGCGCATGGCGTAGAAGCGGTACCCTTTCTCGTGGAGCCTGCGCGCAATGGTGGCCTCCGAGGCCTTGCACCGCGAACTGGTCTTTTGAGGAGACGGGGGGAGGGAGGGGGGGCAAGGGCAGCTGGGAGGGAAGAGAGAGGGGGGGAGTTTGGAGAGCGCCAGGTCACCTCGTACTCTCCGTTGGCCTTCTTGATCAACCTCTCCAGGTGGTTGATGAGATTGGCCACTTGAGCCTCGCTGAGGACATTCTTACGGCCAGTGGTCTTCTTCAGGAAGTTGTCCTTGATGAGGCGGGTGATGGAGGACTTGTCGCGGTGCAGATTCGCCGCGATGTCGCTGGGCGCCATGTCGCCGTTGGTGTACCACTCCTGGGCCAAGCGAATCTCCTCCGCGGTCATCGGCGCCCCGGGCATGGCTGGGCGGCGGGCGCGGCGCGCGGGGATACACGGCCGGGCGGGGCCGCGCACGCGGGTCTTAAAGGACGGATTGCTGCGCGGATGCATCGGGACTCACATCAACTCGGGGCATTCGGAAAGTGAGCGCCTGGCACCGCCACCCCCTGCATTGCCCCGCTGGCTGCCGAATCTGCTGTGGGGTCGGCCGCCTCGTTGTTCGCATCGGTTGCTGCCTCGTCTGCTGCCTGGGTGGCTGCCTCGTCGCTTGCCTCGTTTGCTGCCTTGTTGGCTGCCTCGCTGGCTGCCTGGTTGGCTGCCTCGGTGTTTACCTTGTTTGCTGCCTCGTTTGCTGCCTTGTTGACTGCCTCGTTGGCAGCCTGCTAAGGTGCCTCGTGTGTTGCCGTGTCGACTGCCTCATTGGCTGCATCGTTGGCCATTTGGGCAACGACCTCGCAGGCTGCAGTGGCAACGAACTTTCCCTTTCACCTGGCCATGGTCCGTCCTACTCTGTTCCTTCCCCAAACAATGCTTGTACCTCGGGGGTCTTACTTCTCCCCGAAATGCCTGGGCACGGTGGCTCGTTCGGCCGCCTCGTGGCGGCCTGTCACCGCCAGTCGCTGCCCGTCGCCGCCCATCGTTTGCTGAACATAGATTGCACCGCATAGATCGCTGACGCTGCAAGATGGATTGCACCACATCGAGTCCACCACAATAATTTGCTTAGCATAGCTTGCACCACATAGACTGCACCGCATAGATTGCACTACTGAGATTGCTCCGCATAGCTTACACCACACGCATGGAGTCCATGCTGGCTCTAATTCAATAGTCAATCGGCGCCCCCCTGTGCCCTCCTGTGGAGACGGAGACCGTCTCCGCACGATCCGCAGGAACGTATCGGCGCCGACGAACGCAAGGGTTCCTTCTAGAAACATCCAGCACCCCGAAAGTTCTAGGGGGAATGGGCGCCTGTGTTGCCACCCCTGGCCTATCCTCCGCACGACCTTTCACCCCGCATCCCATAATCCTCGTCCCTCTGGCCCGTCCCCTCCCACTCCTCCTCCTCCTCCTCCTCCTCCTCCTCCTCCTCCTCCAGTTCCTCCTCCTCCTCCCCCTCCTGCTCCTCTGCCTCATCCTCATCCTCGCCCTCCATCCTCTATCAACCCTCGATCATCCCCCGAACCTCCATTCTTGATGTAACGTCGAACCTCGATCCTCGATCCTCGAACGAACCTCGACCCTCAATCCTCGATCAAGCTCCAGTCTCGATCCTCGATCCCCCCTCACACCTCGACCTTCGATCGTCGATCGAACCTCCATCCGCGATCCTCCGTCAAACCTCGATCTCCGAAGGAATCTTAATCCTCGATCGTCAATCAAACCTCGGTCCTCGATCACGAATCCTTCGTCGCACCTCCATCCAAGATCCTCGCACGACCTTCCTCCTCCCCTCCACCTCGCATTCCACGATCCTCGTACCCCTGCTCCAGTTCTCTCCACCTCCTCCTCCTCCTCCTCCTCCTCCTCCTCCTCCTGCTCCTCCTGCTCCTCCTCCTCCTCCTCCTCGTGCTCCTCCTCCTCCTCCTCCTCCTCCTCACTCTCATCCTCGTCTCTGTCCTCGTTCCCGTGTCCTCGTCCTCGTCCTCATTATGCTCCTCTTCCTCCTCCTGCCCCTCCTGCTCTTCCGCCTCGTCTCACTCCTCCCCTCATCACTCCACTCACCTCCCTTGATGAGGCGTTGGGCGTAAGATGGAAACGTCGAAAGTGTTCAATCCCAAACGTACGGTGCGCGGTGGTCAGGTACCCTTTCTATGCAATGCGATGTCTATAGAATGCCATGCAATGCCCAGCAATAGTTTGCCACGCGAGGTAATGACATGCAATGCCATTCAAAGCGATACGATACTATAAACTGTTCTGCTATATGTTGCAGTGTCGTGCCAAGCCCACCCATAAAATGCAATGCAACGCAATGCAATGCAATTTCATGAGGATGGAATTCTGACGCAGTGGAGTGCGGGGGGAGGAGGAGCGATGGAAAGAAGCCCCCTCGCTCTGATCAGCATGACGGTGGCCGCCGGGAGCCCGACCACACCCTCCAGCATACGTCGTCATCGTCGTCGTCATCGTCCTCGTCTCGTCCTTGTCCACGTCGTCGTGGTCGTCGTCGTCGTCGTCGTCGTTGTCGTCGTCTTCGCCGTCCCCGTCGCCGTAGCCGCCGCCCTCGCCATCGTCGCCGCCGTCGCCGTCGGAGGGTCAGGGCACGCGTCGGCCGAGCAATGCCGAAAAGTGCCGAGGAATACCGAAGAGTGCCGAGGAGTGCCGGAAAATGCCGAGGAGTGCGGCGGAGTCCCGAAGAGTGCAGAAAAATGCAGAGGAGTGCCGAGGAGTGCCGAAAAGTGCCCAGGAGTGCCGAGGAGTCCGGAAGAGTGCCGAAGGATGCCGAGGAGTGCGGAGGAGTGCCGAAATGCCGAGGAGTGCGGAGGAGTGTCGAAAGGTGCCGGAGTGCGGCGGAGTGTCGAAGATTGCCGAGGAGCGCCGAAGAGTGCCGAGAAGCGCCGAAAATTGCAGAGGAGTGCCGAGGAGTGCCGAGGAGTGCCGAGGAGTGCCGAAGGAGTGGCGAACAGTGCCGAGGAGTGCGGCGGAGTCCCGAAGAGTGCGGAGGAGTGCCGAGGAGTGCCGAAAGTGCCGAGGAGTGCGGAGGAGTGTCGAAAGGTGCCGGAGTGCGGCGGAGTGTCGCAGATTGCCGAGGAGTGCCGAAGAGTGCCGAGAAGCGCCAAAAATTGCAGAGGAGTGCCGAGGAGTGCCGAGGAGTGCCGAGGAGTGCCGAAGGAGTGGCGAACAGTGCCGAGGAGTGCGGAGGAGTGTCGAAAGGTGCTGGAGTGCGGCGGAGTGCCGAGGAGTGCCGAAGAGTGCCGAAGAGTGCCGAGCAGTGCCGAAAAGTGCAGACAGGAGTGCCGAGGAATGCCGAGGAATGCCGAGGAGTGCCGAGGAGTCCGGAGGAGTGCCGAAAGATACCGAGGAGTGCGACGGACTGCCGAGGAGTGCTGAGGAGTGCGTCGTCGTCGTCGTCGTCGTGGTCGTCGTCGTCGTCGTCGTGGTCGTGGTCGTCGTCGTTGTCGTCGTCGTCGTCGTCGTCGTCGTCGTCGTGGTCGTGGTCGTCGTCGTCGTCGTCGTCGTCGTCGTCGTCGTCGCCCTCGTCGCCGCCGTCGCCGTCGTCGACGTGGTCGTCGTCGCCGTCGTCGTCGTCCTGGTCGTCGTCGTCGTCGCCGTCGTCGTCGTAGTCGCGGTCGCCGTCGACTCCCTGTTGCCCTGCACTCCTCCCCAAAGCGGACTGCTTGAAGAAACGCGAGTTCGTAGATCCGCTTTGTGCTCCCCTCTCCCTCCTTCCTGGCCCCCGCCCCTTTCATTCGCAACTGATGGCTGCTACGGCGTGCAATGACGATGATGCTGATCACGATGGTAATGATTTGGTGACAGTCATGAACACGAACACGAATCTTGAGCCAACGGCGCGGTTCGGCCTGCAGACGCGGGCCGTTATTTAACTTCTGCAATCTAAAATGTGTCTAACACCTCAATTGTGGCAACGGCGGCGCGGCACTCGCAGACAGCACCCGTCTCTGTTGCAAGGGCAGCAAACTCGCCCACGACGGCAAGGCCGCCCAATCGTCCGCCGTTAGCTCCGAGACACTGGCCGCCCCCACGGCCAGGGCATCGTCGTGCAAGGCGTTCGCCACGTCATCGGGGATGGAAACGCGGCGCGTCAGGGCCAAGAGCCCCTCCACCCCTGCGGCCGCGGCGCCGCCGCCCGCGGAGCGGAGCTGCGGCGAGGGCTGCGGCGGGGCGGCCGGCGCCCCATTGGCGAACGCCGTGGCGGTGGCGACGAGCCACTTGCACCAGTTCTCCCGGCAGGGCGGCACGGTGCGCAGCTGCGCCTTGGTCAAGGGCACGCCGTCGGCCGTGAACTGCTCGAACCTGTTCTGCAAGTGAGCAATGTCCTCGGCGCTCACACCGCCGCGCGGCGTCCACAAGCCCTTCAACTTCGACGTCACCGCCATCCCCCGGGCCCAGCACGCGTCAGGGTTCCCATCGTGGAACCGCTGCGACACCTGCACTTCCATGCACTGCCCACTGAACAACTTCAACTGCGTTGAAACCGGGAGCGTGGGCCGACCGGTCGGCAAGGAGGCATACTCCACGCAAGAGAACTCGTCCAGGTACATGAACCTCTTGCCCGGCTTCGTCATGTTAGCCAACGGCATGTTCGCGCCAACGGCCGGCTTGTGGAGCACGTGCGTCTTCCCAAATACGACGTCGATGGGGTCCAACATCGTGCTCTTGCCAGTGTTGCTGGCCCCGGCGATCAGGGGCACCCGCGCCGTCTTGCTGGGCCCCTCGGCGATCACCTTCGCCAGACAATGCGCCAGCTGGCCCTCGGGGACCATCGTGTTCCGGACGAAGAAGGACCGCGCCGCCTCCTGCCAGAGGCAGCGGCCGTCCGCACACTTGCACGACTCGCCAGCCACGCGGCAGATGACCTCCCAGTCGCTCTGGCGCTCCTCTGCCGCGGCCCGCGGGGCGTCGCTCCACTCCCTCGCCTCCGCGAGCAGAGTGACCAGCTGCCCCTGCCTTCGGGGGCGGGAGCGCACCGCCGCCGGGAGCCCAGGAGCCCCGATCCTCGGGGCCCCTGGAGACGCCTCGGAAGCCCTCGGGGGGGAAGCGGGCCATCTGGCAGAAGCAAAAACGCCCCGGGGACACGCCGCGAGGCCCCCCAGGGCCATGGCCGCAGAATCTGGCATACAGTGGGGCCTGGGCGAGCGCGTTCCCGCTCCTGGCGCCTAGCTCCCACCCAGCGCTGGATCTCCGCACTGCCGTTCTCCTGCACGTGCGCCAACACGGCGCTCTTGGTCCACAGACCCTCGCTGATGACCAGCGCCTTGAAGTCGACATTCGTGAACCTGACCCGCTCCTTCTTGGACCCCGTCTCCTCGGCCACCTTGGCGGCCTGCTTCTCGGCCTCCTCCCGCCGTCTCTTGAGGGCTTTGGCGTTGAAGGGTTCCTGGCTGGCTTCGTACAGGTTCAAGGAGGTGCCCTGGCGCGACCAGGCCAACGGCTCGTCGTCGACCTGGAGCTTTCGGGGCGTCGTAAAAACCCCGTACCGAACAGCGCTCCAGAACATGGTGTGCGTGGCGCTCCAGTGCGACGCCAACGCGGAGCGGGCTCGCAGGGCCAGCTTAAAGGGCAAGAACGACGCCTTGTTAGTCAAGCGCAGGGCCACGTGGAAGTGGCGCGGCTCCTCGAGGAACACCACCATCGACTCGACGCCGACGGGCTCGTTGAGGGGCCTGCCGCCCTTGCGAGACGACGCCGGGGGCGAAACTCGACAAAGGGGCTCCAGACAAATTACGTTTATCTCGCTGGGAACGGAATCCAAGGTCTCGCGGGCCCGGGGCGGCCAATCGTGGCGCAAAAATCGAACGTTGAAGCTTCCTGTCGAGCGTCTTCCTCCCAGCGCTGTCTAACCCTGGTCGACTGCACAGGGTTGGCCACGGCGTCCAGGATGGCGTCCCGGATCTGCTCTCGCGAGACTTCGTCTAAGGTCCTGAGGGCGGGTCCGCCGACGGCGGCCGCGGCCTCGGCGGTCCCTGGGAGCGTCGGCGCGAAGGTGACCAAGTAGACCCACTGCCGAACCTTCGCGTTCTCTGGGGCGCCCCAGTCTGGGCCAACGGGGCCGGCGGCCACCGCGGCCTGTGCGCCCTCCGGGGTCGACGCTTGCACTGCGGCGCGGAGGATCTCTCCGACCTCCTCCCGCCTGTCGTCCAAGCCGTCAGGCTGCAAACCCAAGTGGGCCGCCAACCTGTGCCTGAAGGCCTTGACACTGATGGCCGCGAGCTCGACCCCCCGGAGCAGAGCCCTCGACGCCTCGTCCAGCTGCGCCCGCGTCGGCGCTGCCGCCGCAGCCATTCCCCCGAACGGCCGCGGCCCTGCGCGCCTGCGAGCCTGCGGGCCAGACGGCAGCGACGATGACGGCGGCAGCGAGGGCGACCCGCGCCTGCGACCCCGCGCCCGCGACCCGCGCCAGCGACCCTCGCCAACGACCGGCGCCCGCGACCCGCGACCGCGATCCGCGCCCGCGACCCCGGCGCGCGATCCCCGCCCGCGAACGGCGACAGCGACCCGCGCTTGCGACCCGCGCGACCGCGACCAACGCCCACGACCAGCGCCTGGCGACCCGCGCCCGCGACCCGCTCAGGGAGGGGGCGGAGGAGGGCCGGGGAACGACGCCCCCCGGCGGCGCGCGAGCGCCCGCAGCCGCTCGCGACACGCGCGACCGCGACCCGCGCCCGCGACCAGCGCCTGCCGACCCGCGACCCGCGCCCGCGACCAACGCCCGCAGCTCGAACCCAGAACCCGCGGGCGGCACGCGCCTGCGACCTACGACCCGCCCAGAACCTGCCCTGGGCGACCCGCCGGCGACCTGCTGGCGGCCCGCGCCCGTGGCGGCGAGCCGCCTTGGTCGCCGCGGACTCGCCAGTGACTTACCTCCCACCCCAGTGCCTTACCAGTGACTTACCAGTGACTTACCAGTGACTTACCCAGTGACTTACTCCGCCCACTCTATAAATTCACACACGGGGCACATGCGATCAATATAATTCCTCTTCTAATGCTAGAGAGAGAAATTCGTGAGTACCGCAAGCGCCCCGCCCGTCAATTTATAAGGTGGGCGAGGTAAGTCACTGGGTAAGTCACTGGTAAGTCACTGGTAAGTCACTGGTAAGGCACTCGGGTGGGAGGTAAGTCACTGGGGCCCACGGGGGCCCCGCGGACCTAGCGGCCAAGGCCGACGAGGGCCCCGGCGGGCCTGGGCGGGCCTGGCGACGGCCCTCCCGGAATGAATGCCCCCCCTTATCCTTCCTCGGGCGACGTGCCTCGGGCTCCGCCTGGCTTTGTCGCTTCCTCTCCCCTTCCCCCGTCTGCCCCAGCCCGCGCGCGCAGGGTGAGTTTTCTGGCGGTGGCCCGCGCTCTGGCCCCGAACGGCCGCGGCGAGTTGCCCGCGGGGAAAACTGGGGTGCCCGCGCGCGCGGGCACGAAGGGCCCATCTCTAACCCTCGATCTGGCCGCCCTCGGCCGCCACCAGGCGCTGGCACCGCTTCTTCATGCCCCCGATGCTCTTGCTCACCATGTCCGAGGGAATGCTCTTGGCCGTGCGCTTGAGGCGCCGGATGAAAGCGGCGCGGGTCTCGCGCTTGCCCGCGGGGAACGCGCGCTCTCCCGCGCGCGCATAAGCGCCGAGTTCACGCTCCCGCCACAGCCAGTAGTTCGCACACGTTCATGCTGCGGACTGTGGCATGGATCTCGAACGCCTGGATGCCGGCGCGCTGCTGCGTGCAGCTTGCACGCCCTTGCTGGCCGTTGAAAACAAGCCGGACGGTCGTTGTCCCGAGGACGCGGAGCGCTTCGTCCCAGGGGCCTCCGCCTTGGGGTGGTGGGGGGGTGGTGGGGAGGTGGGGCGTGAGGGGGGGGGTTGTGTGGGGGGGGGAACGCCTGGAGAATCGGGCCCTCGTAGATCCGGCGGCGCCTCGGAGAGCATTCGCAATTCCCCTGGATCTCCATCCACACCAGCACCTTCGCCCCGCTTGCCGGCCAAAATGTTGCACCCCTACCAGACCCGTGTTGTAACTCAAACTTCGATTGGGCTTCACGTAGCCAGCGTTCAGGCCCTCGCCTGGGCGGCGGATGACGCCCCGCGTGCCCGACTGGGCCACGTGGCGACGCGCCCTGCCCGTGAGCAGGACGGGGAAGAACTTCACGTCGATGTGCATATGCACGTGCGACTGCCACCACGACACGGGCTTCCCCTGGTACTTCTCCCCGAACTCGAGGCGGCCCTGGATGTCCTCGTCCGTCAGCAGGGGCTTGTGGCGCATGGCGTAGAAGCGGTACCCTTTCTCGTGGAGCCTGCGCGCAATGGTGGCCTCCGAGGCCTTGCACCGCGAACTGGTCTTCAGCATGCGCCAGGTCACCTCGTACTCTCCGTTGGCCTTCTTGATCAACCTCTCCAGGTGGTTGATGAGATTGGCCACTTGAGCCTCGCTGAGGACATTCTTACGGCCAGTGGTCTTCTTCAGGAAGTTGTCCTTGATGAGGCGGGTGATGGAGGACTTGTCGCAATACAGATTCGCCGCGATGTCGCTGGGCGCCATGTCGCCGTTGGTGTACCACTCCTGGGCCAAGCGAATCTCCTCCGCGGTCATCGGCGCCCCGGGCATGGCTGGGCGGCGGGCGCGGCGCGCGGGGATACACGGCCTGGCGGGGCCGCGCACGCGGGTCTTAAAGGACGGATTGCTGCGCGGATGTATCGGGACTCCCATCAACTCAGGGCATTCGGAAAGTGAGCGCCTGGCACCGCCACCCCCTGCATTGCCCCGCTGGCTGCCGAATCTGCTGTGGGGTCGGCCGCCTCGTTGTTCGCATCGGTTGCTGCCTCGTCTGCTGCCTGGGTGGCTGCCTCGTCGCTTGCCTCGTTTGCTGCCTTGTTGGCTGCCTCGCTGGCTGCATGGTTGGCTGCCTCGGTGTTTACCTCGTTTGCTGCCTCGTTTGCTGCCTTGTTGACTGCCTCGTTGGCAGCCTGCTAAGGTGCCTCGTGTGTTGCCGTGTCGACTGCCTCATTGGCTGCATCGCTGGTCATTTGGGCAACGACCTCGCGGGCTGCAGTGGCAACGAACTTTCCCTTCCACCTGGCCATGGTCCGTCCTACTCTGTTCCTTCCCCAACTTGCACCTCGGGAGTCGTATTTCTCCCCGAGAGACGTGGGCACGGTGGCCCGTTCGGCCGCCTCGTGGCGACCTGCCACCGCCAGTCGCTACCCGTCGCCGCCCATCGTTTGCTGAACATAGATTGCACTGCATAGACCGCTGACGCTGTAAGATGGATTGCACCACTTCGAGTCCACCACAATAATTTACTTAGCATAGCTTGCACCACATAGACTGCACCGCAAATAGATTGGCACTACTGAATTTGCTCCACATAGCTTACTTACACCACACAGCATGGAGTCGCATGCTGGCTCTAAATTCAATAGTCATCGGGCCCGCCCCTCCTGTGCCCTCCTGTGGAGACGGCGACCGGTCTCCGCACGAATCCGCAAGGAACGTATCGGCCGCCACGAACGCAAGGGTTCCTTCTAGAAAAACATCCAGCACCCCGACAGTTCTAGGGGGAATGGGCGCCTGTGTTTGCCACCCTGGCCTATCCTCCGCACGACCTTTCCCCCCCGCAATCCCATAATCCTCGTCCCTCTGCCCGTCCCTCCCACTCCTCCTCCTCCTCCTCCTCCTCCTCCTCCTCCTCCTCCTCCTCCTCCTCCAGTTCCTCCTCCTCCTCCCCCTCCTGCTCCTCTGCCTCATCCTCATCCTCGCCCTCCATCCTCTATCAACCCTCGATCATCCCCCGAACCTCCATTCTTGATGTAACGTCGAACCTCGATCCTCGATCCTCGAACGAACCTCGACCCTCAATCCTCGATCAAGCTCCAGTCTCGATCCTCGATCCCCCCTCACACCTCGACCTTCGATCGTCGATCGAACCTCCATCCGCGATCCTCCGTCAAACCTCGATCTTCGAAGGAATCTTAATCCTCGATCGTCAATCAAACCTCGGTCCTCGATCACGAATCCTTCGTCGCACCTCCATCCAAGATCCTCGCACGACCTTCCTCCTCCCCTCCACCTCGCATTCCACGATCCTCGTACCCCTGCTCCAGTTCTCTCCACCTCCTCCTCCTCCTCCTCCTCCTCCTCCTCCTCCTGCTCCTCCTGCTCCTCCTCCTCCTCCTCCTCGTGCTCCTCCTCCTCCTCCTCCTCCTCCTCACTCTCATCCTCGTCTCTGTCCTCGTTCCCGTGTCCTCGTCCTCGTCCTCATTATGCTCCTCTTCCTCCTCCTGCCCCTCCTGCTCTTCCGCCTCGTCTCACTCCTCCCCTCATCACTCCACTCACCTCCCTTGATGAGGCGTTGGGCGTAAGATGGAAACGTCGAAAGTGTTCAATCCCAAACGTACTACTACTACTACTACTACTACTACTACTACTACTACTACTACTACTACTACGACTACTACTACTACTACTACTACTACTACTACTACTACTACTACTACTACTACTACTACTACTACGTATACTACTACTACTACTACTACTACTACTACTACTACTACTACTACTACTACTACTACTACTACTACTACTAATACTATTCTACGGGCCACTACGAACTACTAACGACGACTACTAAAGAAAACACGACTAACCACTACTACTACACTACAACTAACGACTAACGACTACTACGATGATCACTGCTACTACCATTTACAGCTCGACGGCTACTACTACTACTACTACTACTACTACTACTACTACTACGACTACGACTACGACTACGACTACTACTACAACGACTACTACTACTACTGCTGCTACTACTACTGCTACTACTACACTACTACTACTACTACTACTACTACTACTACTACTACTACTACTACTACTACTACTACTACTACTACTACTACGACTATTACGACTATTACGACTATTACTACTACTACTACGACTACGACTACGACTATGACTACTACTCCTACTACTACTACTACTACTACTACTCCTACGCCGACTACTTCTACTACGACTACGACTACTACTACTACTACTACTACTACTACTACTACTACGCCTACGACTACTACGACTACTACGACTACTACGACTACTACTACTACTACTACTACTACTACTACTACTACTACGACTACGACTACTTCTACCATCGCTATTACGACTACAACTACAACTACGGCCACTACTACTGCTACTACTACTACTACTACAACTACGACTACGACCACGACGACTACGAATACTACTTCTACGACTACTACGCTGGCTTTTACGACA